AGCTCCATGGGCTGAGCACAGGGCCGGGAGCCAGGAACCCCTCCCTCATCCAGGCTCTGTGGCCCACCCATCCTGTAGAAGAGGGGCAGTGACAGACCCAGCCCCAGAATTCTGGGGAGGAGTATTTGCAAGGGCCGAGAGAGCAGCCGCAGTGACGCCCTCCCCTTGCCGTGGCCACACCGGGCTCACCTGTGAGCCCCCACCACGTGGGGCAGCGGCTGGTCAGCTTTACCACACCCGAGGCGAACATGAGGCGGAAGAGCAGCCAGCGCATCAGCCAGAAGGTGATGCTGTCGTGTGGCCGCCAGGCAGTGGAGCGCCACTTCAGCAGGTGCAGCGGGGCCACCAGCACGGCCAGGAAGCCTGTCTCCAGCAGGAGGCTGTCCCTGCAGAACACACAGCACCCCGAGCGTCAGATTGGAGGGCCAGAGGCTCCCTGTCTGCTGGGGCCAACTGCTCCCCTCAACTGCCCTCGCCCCACGCTCAGCAAGGGCCACAGCGAGGGGACAGCCAGACACCGGACCAAGCAGGATTCCTGCGTTGGATAGTTCCCAGAAACTCCCAGGAGAGGAGGCCTCCCTGACGGCACTGAGCTAGGACAGCAGTGCCTGGGCAGCAGGGATCTCTGCTTCAGTGTGGCTTCCCTGGACTGCGTCAGCACCAAGCCTGCCCTTCTGAACCCCTGCAGAGCGACGGTGCAGCCACACGAGGGGTCACGTCAACGCCTGCAGGATATGGCGGGGGCCCATCCTGCCAGGGACACGAGCTGTACTCGGAAGGGGGAGCAGCCATGAGTAGCTCTGGGGAGACAATCACTTACCACTGGAAGTACAGGAACACCTGCCCCACCTGTGGAGAGAGGGAGCACAGGGGTGTCAATGGGGGACCGGCAGGGCATCGCAAAGTGACAGGCACAGAGAAGTTTGATCACATGACTGCCTCATTCTGGTCCTCTCCTTCCTATCCAGGTGGGAGGGCAGAAGACACCACCTTCTCTTGGGTACATTCCAGGTAGCAATGCCAGTTCCCTTGAGGCAACAGGCCCTGATCCAACTCCTGGGAGCCATGACTAGGCAGTCACACAGCCAAGAGCTGTGTGGCATAAGGCCCCAGCACAATGCCTGGGCACCTGGGGGTAAAAGCAGAGGGAGCAAGGGATAGGACATACCTAGGTCAAAGCACACCCACAAGAATGAGGGGAGTTAGTGCACCAGCCTGGCTTGTTCCAGGGGGACGGGCTGTCTGGGTTAAGCCTGGCAACCAGGAAGATTATTCAAGGAAGACTCAGGAGGACTAGGGGACTGTGCTGGGATTGAGAGGTTGCGTCAGAACGGAGGGAACCCAGGGCTGGGATAGCAGGGGGCTGAGTCGGGTCTCATGGGCATTTGCAGGTGAATCTTGCTCCACGCCAGCCTGCCCGGTGGCTGCCTCTAGCGCCAGTGCTCTTAGCCTCTCCTGCCCCCTGTCGCTGTCAGCGTGCTCAAGGCAGGAAGATCAATACTGACAGTGTAATAAGCAGATGCCAGAGACCAGCTCCTGACTCCACCACAGTTGTGGACCTGCCAAGGCTCCACTAGAAGTGCGGGGGATGCAATTGCTGCCACGTTCTGAGTCAGTGCTGCTCACAGGGAGGAGCCCTGCAGGCTCCAATTAGAGGAACAAGGTTTCTCTCCAGTGCCACCTTAAAAGGAAGAGGCAGCAAGTGGAACATCCCCAAAGCCGGGAGGGGAGAGCTGTGGACTGCGTTGCACTCTGGAGAGCAGCACACCACGCACAAGGGGCTAGCTTAGCTCCAAGGCAGGTGGAGGCAAGACGCCCTAAAGAGGCAGAAAATGCCCCCTCCCCCAGCCTTGGCTTGGAGGTCGCTGCCCTGGGGACACAGAGGGCCGCAGAGATGCTGCACCTAGCGGATGAAACCATCAGTTCTGCAGGCAGAGAGCACCTCCCCCTAGGCCCGGCTTCCAGGGAGCATCTGCTGGCCCAGTGCCGGAGGTGGGCCATTCCTTTGCTGGGACAGTTGTCATTTCCCTTTCCTTTTCCTGGCTACACAAGCTGCAGCCAGGGTACTTCACCGCCTCTGCACAGCTGGGGCCAGCAGACTCTGCTCCCTGCTGCAACAAGCGGCAGGGCTCTGTGAGCAGTGCGGGGCTGTGAGCTGAACTGGAGCTGGCTGGCATCGGGCAGAGCCCTAGACGTCAGCACAGAGTTTGGGATGGAGCAAGCCAGCTGCACTGGCTACCTGCCGTGTGCAGGGATACCGGACTCCGAAGAGCGCACGGATATGGGGAGAGCACCCAGGAGGCAGCGATTTCAACTGATTGGTCTGCCTAGGACCCCAAAGCAACCAGCATCGCTCTTCCCCACCCCACTCTGCAGGAATCACTTCTGCCCGAGAGCCGAGGAGACGCGACTCCTGTCTCTGCAACCGGGAGAAGCTCCATTGTGACTGGAGAGCAGAGCCTGCGATGAATGCAGCGTCAAGGCCAAACAGCCAACACTCACTAGCCAGGCGGCTCTGAAAGATAGCTGCGCTGGCAGGGTTAACTCCGCCATGCTGTCTGGTATACAATACAGCAAGGTATACAATACAGCAAGAGTGATCTTTGGCATTTAATTCCCCTGCTGTGAGAAGAGAAGCCATTTACAGGCTGCCAGGATCCCTGGGTCACACCACAAGTTCCTCTACAAGGGAACAGGCAGCCCGCAAGCTCTGCAGCAGATTAAGACCCCTACCATGTGCTAGAAAGGTTAGGCAGCAGTCCATACTAGTGTGCCACACACTGGCCTTAGCAGTGGTGCATTAGCAAAGCTACTCTCAGCTCTCCAAAGCAAGCCAGGTTTGCAAAGAGCTTTGGGGTTTTGCTTTACATCAAGTATATTTGAGGTTTCTAGCTTAAGAAACACTCCTGCTCAGCGCAGGTGAGAATGTGACACAGCCACTGCCCAAGAGGCCACCTCAAGGCCCCCCCCCATCACTGGTCCCAGATCAAAGAAGGAGAATTTCAACCCCAAAAGGAGCCAGGGGACATTATGGAGCCACCAGAAATAGGGAAAGGGACGGAGGACTGAATCTGGCTAGAGAGCGCAAGCCAATCCTCATGTCCTGGGCAGAGGGGAGGGAAGAAGACTGGAAAGAGAGCTGGGCTGCTTTAAAAAGAGAGGCGCTAAGTAAGAACGGCCGGGAATGGAGGGAAGAGGCCTGGCTGAGCCAACCCTGCCTCAAGCAAGGACTTTGCTAACCCCCTGCTCTATTAGGATCCAAGGTGCAGAGCAGCAAGGAGCACGCTCCTCCCATGCACCAGTCAGAGCTTCCTGCCCCCCTACCTGGAGGACCTGCCTGTGACATCCCTAGTTGGGAGTGTTACTAACCTGTGGTCCGCTCCTTACCGGGTGATAGTTACTGGTTACCAGTTAGCCGGCAGCTTGGCTGGGCTCAGGCACCCCCCTCCCCCGCTTACCCCAGTTTGAGCAGTTAGCCGGTTCAACAGGATTTTACATCCCTACTCCCACCCATGCACTGCTCCCATCCTGCCCCCCGCAGCGATCACACACCTGATAGAGTGAGAGGTAGAGTGCCCAGAGCAGCAGGAAGACGAGGCTGTCCCGCAGGGGCTCAAACACCAGGGTGCCGAAGGAAGTCAGCACACCCAGCAGGCACAGTAGCTCCATGCCCAGTTCCGTGTCCAGCCCCAGGCGTGGGCCAAACCACAGCAGTGTTGGGGAATCCCGCAGCTGCTCCCATAAGCCCTTCCCAGAGACACGCAGCATCTTACGGGCTGGCAGGATGCCATCTTTCCCATAGAGCCCTAGGGAGAGGGGAACAAGAAAGGAAGTTACAACACCTAGCAACCCCTTTGCCTGGTAACTATCTGTCCACTAGACACACGCAGTCCTCCCTCCCAAAGGGGCACCCAATCTGCCTGGGGAGCTAGTCTATCTTGGGGGGAGGTCCCACTGAATTCCACCCTCCCCAGGATCAGAGGAGCACAGTTAGGTCCTGAAGCCCAGCAACAACAGTCAATCTCCCGACTGCAGGCCCTGAGCCTGGAAGAGTGGGATAAAAATACCATGGGAAACATCCATCTGGAGCTCCCAGGGTGAACAGCTGCTTAACGATCCATGTCCACAGCCTCAGGGCTGCCAGATTAAGCCTGCCCACGTGTTAGGAGGACTCTGCTCAGCAAGCAAACCAGGCCTCTGCACAGCCAAGAAGGGGAGCAGCGGCAGAAAACAACACGGTGCATATGCCATCCAGGCAGAACCAGCAACATGCAGGGGGATAGCAGCTGGGATTATCCACAACTACCGTAAAGCCCCAAGCACACTGTACTCAGCGTGGCCTGGACCCCAATGTGCTCAAGGCCTTAAAGAGACTTGAAGCCTTTTAGTCTTTGCAGAGCGAGGTCTCTCTTCTCTCAGCCTGCAGGGGACTCTCTTCAACAGGATGTGAGTGACCATTTCAAGGGCCGGGGCCCAAACCCAGCCACAAATATCCTTCAATCTCTAGAGCAGCTCAGGAATCACAGCATGTCTCCTGGTGGATTTCAGGGGCAACCCTAGATTTAGAGATGCCAACTTCAGAGACCCGCCTGTTACGCCCCAGCACAGACTGGAGTTCAGGAGATTAAAAGCCCTGCTTGCAGTGGCTGAGCGGTTGGTTGGCCGCCCGCCCAGCTCCTGGCCAGCAGTTGGCAGGAAACAGAAAACAGAAGGAAACGGAGAAAAGGCTCTCAAATAAAGTGGTTAAGCAGAGGCCTGAAGAATTGGGCAAAGGGAGAGCCCCGCTGAGCAGAACAGTAGCCACTTCCTCTGAGCTCCCATGAAGAGGGCAACAGGAGGAGGGTCTGGAAGAAGGGCTTCCCACAGGAGTGACACAGAAGGTCACCCCTGGGGCCAAGCGCAGCCTGCGTACACAGGTGCAGCTCCCAGGGAGAGTCGCAGCAGCAGCAGGCACGGTGGGGTAAGCAGGGCATGGGTAACACAGCAAGGGGCAGAAGGGAAGGGCAGCAGGGTAAAGAAAGTAAAGGCAGCCTGGGAGGGCCCCAGCTGAGGACTCAGTAGATCCTAGGCACTGCTCAACTCAGCTTGCCCCCCCGTGCAATGCAGTCTGTGCCTTGGAAGGGGAGAACAGCATCCTATTCAGCGAGTCTGGATTAGACACTAGGGCATGGGGGGTACTGGCAGAGCAGGGCGACGGGGTCCTTATGAGCACGTAGGCAGCAATCCCCACAGTCGTCACTCGGTCTCTCACACCGTCCCCACCCCTTTCAGATACCAACCAGATTTGGCCCAAGTGAGACCAACTCCCATTGGGCTTCAGGGGAGCTGCACCTGACCGCATCGGGGAGAGGGGACAGGATTTTATCTGCACTGAACACCGGATCAAGGCAAGTGTCATAGAGTGGCCACGGAGCCATCGCTGCTGAACGAGGCCTCCAGCTGGGGCCGGATTACCCTGCTCCCCTCCCTGCCCCAAAACAGCAGAGTCAATGAAGCGCAAGAGAGGTTTCCCCTTTCCCCACAAGAGCCTTCCTGGTCCCTCCTTATGTCTTGGGCCAGGGGCCTCACGGACCTAAGCCAAGCCTTCCCAAGGAGTTACCAACACCCTCCCATTTGGGATCTCAGGGTAGCATCCGAGCCCACTGCAGGCACGGCACCCGCACAGCTTGTCTCTCCAGCAGCTCATCTTCTGCTCCCTCATTCCCCACCTCACCTGGAGCAAGCACCACCCTTCCCTTACACCCCCTCCCCCCTCGTACATCTTTCCTCCCCTTTGCCCCAATACCACCAGGTCCTGACACGCAGCCTAAGGGCAACCGCTGAGGCCAGGAGCTCTGCTGCTCAGCAGGAGCTGCTCATCGTGTGTACCCCAGATGAGTGGGCTGAGGGGTGTACAGCAAATCATTACTGGGTGCACGGCCCTCCTCTCCAGGCCAGACGCCAGGGTGAGGAGTCAGGAGAGCCCCGCAGTCTATTGGAAGTGACACCTTGTCAGCTAACCTACCCCCAGCATCCCCTGTGCTCCTGGGCGCGGGGCGCCACACCCAGCCCCAGGGCACCCCCCACGTGGGGGAGACCCCCTAGCACTCACCCAAACAGCACAGGCGAGCCCCACGGATAACCAGCATCCCCTGTGCTCCTGGGCGCGGGGCGCCACACCCAGCCCCAGGGCACCCCCCACGTGGGGGAGACCCCCTAGCACTCACCCAAACAGCACAGGCGAGCCCCACGGATAACCCTGAACAGCCCCCCCAGGAGCCCCTCCCAGGGCCCTGCACCCCCCAGAGCAAGTGACAGACCCCA